ATGAGTTAACAAGAGTTTGGTAATAAAGTGGGGGGAAAAACCATAAAAAAATCCACTCTCAGCCCAAAAAGTCAAATAATGACTCACAGGGCTCTTATATGTGAAAAATAATGATTAAAAAAATGCCCTGCTGTGTGTTCTGTTTGATTTGTTCACAACATTTTACTTTTTGCTCAAATAACATGCATTTTTAATGCATGTGGAAAATGTTGGTATCCAAGCTTTCAATTCAGGAGTTTTGCGCTTCGGCAAAAGACACAGGAGAGACTCGGGGAGACACAGGAGATGGTCCTGAACACGATTCAAGGACCGCACAGATGGTTCTGTCCGCGCGACAAGGGTCTGCGTGCGGCACCATGTTACAGATGTGCGTTCGCTGAGCTGTTGTCAAAGCGGCTGTCAATACAAAACGGGCCACAGCTGCCCCGGGGTCAGAGCGGAACTGAGAGAAGACAACAGCGCAAGTTCCGTGAAATGAGTTCTATCAAGCTCCAACTATAACCAATTTTTCGAGTTTCAACCCAGTATTCAGCAGAAAACACAACTGTCATTGACCCATGAACGTGTCAAATGATTGAACACACACTCCATTTCTCTCAAACTCAACATCTGGAGCTGGGACATAGAGTTGAGGCTTCTCTCTCGGTGTTGCGGGTATTGACGTGTTAGCTGGTGTTAGCTGATGTCCATAAAAATAATCCATCTTATCAAACCACCTCCAGACTTTTCAGTTCTGTCCACTTTTACGGCTGGGATCTTTCATTTCACGGTAGTCACTTTTACACTTCTTAACTTTTCTCTGCACTGCGATATCCGTGATATCCATCCCTTCGTCCCTAGCGCAACCTTCGCTAACACTTATTTACACTCACTCGGGTGGCACCATCGAGCTTAAACTGGCCGCATCTACAAACCAGGTCGAGACAGGTCGCACCCGGTCGGACCATAGATCCATCCCTCCAGCCCTTGGAAACGGCCCTAATGTCTGCAAATGTTGAGTTCTTGAAGATTGCTCCTCATCTGAACCGAGTCAGAGTCCTCAAAATCAGAATTACTGTCACAACAAGTACACCATCCATCCATCCATTTTCTTCCGCTTTATCCGTTGCCGGGTCGCGGGGGCAGCAGTCTAAGCAGAGACGCCCAGACTTCCCTATCCACACACACCTCCTCTAGCTCGTCCGGGGGGACCCCAAGGCGTTCCCAGGCCAGCTGAGAGACATAGTCTCTCCAGTGTGTCCTGGGTCTTCCCCTGGGCCTCCTCCCGGTGGGACGTGCCCGGAACACCTCCCCAGGAAGGCGTCCAGGAGGCATCCTGAACAGATGCCCGAGCCACCTCAACTGGTTCCTCTCGACGTGGAGAAGCAGCGGCTCTACTCCGAGCTCCTCCCGTGTGACTGAGCTCCTCACCCTATCTCTAAGGGAGCGCCCAGCCACTCTGCGGAGGAAGCTCATTTCGACCGCTTGTATCCGCGATCTCGTTCTTTCGGTCATTACCCACAGCTCATGACCATAGGTGAGGGAGGGAACGAAGATTGACCGGTAAATTGAGACCTTTGCCTTTCGGCTCAGCTCCCTCTTTACCACAACGGTCTGATACAGAGACCGCATCACTGCGCACGCTGCACCGATCCGCCTGTCAATCTCACGCTCCATCCTCCCCTCACTCGTGAACAAGACCCCGAGATACTTGAACTCCTCCACTTGAGGAAGGACCTCTCCACCCACCTGAAGAGGGCAAGGCACCTTTTTCCGGTCGAGCACCATGGCCTCAAATTTGGAGGTGCTGATTCTCATCCCAGCCGCTTCACACTCGGCTGCAAACCGTCCCAGTGCATGTTGCAGGTCCTGGTTCGTTGGAGCCAACAGGACGACATCATCCGCAAAAAGTAGAGATGAAATCCTGTGGTTCCCGAACCGGACCCCCTCCGGCCCCTGGCTGCGCCTAGAGATTCTGTCCATAAATACAGTGAACAGAACCGGTGACAAAGGGCAGCCTTGGCGGAGGCCAACATGCACCGGGAACAGGTCTGACTCACTGCCGGCAATGCGAACACAGCTCTGGCTCCGGTCATACAGGGACCGAACAGCCCTCAGCAGAGGACCCCGGACCCCGTACTCCCGGAGGACCCCCCAAAGGACACCCCGGGGAACACGGTCGAACGCCTTCTCCAAATCCACAAAGCACATGTGGACAGGTTGGGCGAACTCCCATGAACCCTCGAGTATCCGATGGAGAGTATAGAGCTGGTCCAGTGTTCCGCGACCGGGACGAAAAACACACACTGCTCCTCCTGAATCCGAGATTCGACCATCGGACGTAGCCTCCTCTCCAGTACCTTGGAGTAGACCTTACCGGGGAGGCTGAGGAGTGTGATCCCACGATAATTGGAACACACCCTCCGGTCCCCCTTCTTGTAGAGAGGGACCACCACCCCGGTCTGCCACTCCATTGGCACCGCCCCCGATCGCCACGCGATGTTGCAGAGACGTGTCAGCCAAGACAGTCCTACAACATCCAGAGACTTTAGATAGTCAGGACGGATCTCATCCACTCCCGGCGCCTTGCCACCATGGAGGCTGCCAACCACCTTGGTGACCTCGGCCAGGGAGATGGAAGTATCCGCCCCAACATCCTCAGCCTCTGCCTCCTGGACGGAGGACGTGACGGGGGGATTGAGGAGAACCTCGAAGTATTCCTTCCACCGCCCGACAATATCCCCAGTCGAGGTCAGCAGCCCTCCACCCGCACCATACACGGTGTTGGCAAAGAACTGCTTCCCCCTCCTGAGGCGCCGGACGGTTTGCCAGAACCTCTTCGAGGCCGACCGATAGTCATGCTCCATGGACTCTCCGAACTCCTCCCAGTCCCGGGTTTTTGCCTCTGCAACAGCCCGGGCCGCGGCACGTTTGGCCTGCCGGTACTGGACAGCTGCCTCAGGAGTCCCACGAACCATCATTGCTCGATAGGACTCCTTCTTCAGCCTGACGGCATCCCTTACTGCCGGTCTGCTGGTCCCGGCGGCAATCCCCGAACCCGGTGGTGGACACAACAAGTACGCAAGGGCTCATAAATTAAAAACCCTGACTTGTATTGTCCATCACTGAATAACAAATACAGTGCCTTGCGAAAGTGAACCTTTCAACATTTTGCCACATTTCAGGCTTCAAACATAAAGATAAAAATTTTTAATTTTTTGTCATGAATCAACAACAAGTGGGACACAATCGTGAAGTGGAACAAAATTTATTGGATAATTAAACTTTTTTAACAAATAAAACACTGAAAAGTGGGGCATGCAATATTATTCGGCCCCTTTACTTTCAGTGCAGCAAACTCACTCCAGAAGTTCAGTGAGGATCTTTGAATGATCCAATGTTGTCCTAAATGACTGATGATGATAAATAGAATGCACCTGTGTGTAATCAAGTCTCCGTATAAATGCACTTGCTCTTTTGATAGTCTCAGGGTTCTGTTTAAAGCGCAGAGAGAACCATGAAGACAAAGGAACACACCAGGCAGGTCCGAGATACTGTTATGGAGAAGTTTAAAGCCAGATTTGGATACAAAAAGATTTCCCAAGCTTTAAACATCTCAAGGAGCACTGTGCAAGCAATTATATTGAAATGGAAGGAGTATCAGACCACTGCAAATCTACCAAGACCCGGCCGTCCCTCCAAACTTTCATCTCAAACAAGGAGAAGACTGATCAGACATGCAGCCAAGAGACCCATGATCACTCTGGATGAACTGCAGATAACTACAGCTGAGGTGGGAGAGTCTGTCCATAGGACAACAATCAGTCGTGCACTGCACAAATCTGGCCTTTATGGAAGAGTGGCAAGAAGAAAGGTATCCATAAAAAGTCTTGTTTAAAGTGTGCCACAAGCCACCTGGGAGACACACCAAACATGTGGAAGAAGGTGCTATGGTCAGATGAAACCAAAATCGAACATTTTGGCCACAATGCAAAACGATATGTTTGGCATAAAAGCAACACAGCTCATCACCCTGAACACACCATCCACACTGTCAAACATGGTGGTGGTAGCATCATGGTTTGGGCCTGCTTTTCTTCAGCAGGGACAGGGAAGATGGCTAAAATTGATGGGAAGATGGATAGAGCCAAATACAGGACCATTCTGGAAGAAAACCTGTTGGAGTCTGCAAAAGACCTGAGACTGGGACGGAGATTTATCTTCCAACAGGACAATGATCCAAAACATAAAGCCAAATCTACAGTGGAATGGTTCACAAATAGACGTATCCAGGTGTTAGAATGGCCAAGTCAAAGTCCAGACCTGAATCCAATCGAGAATCTGTGGAAAGAGCTGAAGACTGCTGTTCACAAACGCTCTCCATCCAACCTCACTGAGCTCGAGCTGTTTTGCAAGGAAGAATGGGAAAGAATTCCAGTCTCTCGATGTGCAAAACTGATAGAGACATACCCCAAGCGACTTGCAGCTGTATTTGCAGAAAAAGGTGGCGCTACAAAGTATAGTGCAAAGGGGCCGAATAATATTGCACGCCCCACTTTTCAGTTTTTAATTTGTTAAAAAAGTTTAAACTATCCAATAAATTTCGTTCCACTTCACGATTGTGTCCCACTTGTTGTTGATTCTTGACAAAAATTTTAATTTTTATATCTTTATGTTTGAAGCCTGAAATACTTTCGCAAGGCACTGTATCTGTTTAAAACGTCCGTGTACAAAGTTATGGCTTACAAATGCATATCAACAAAGCCCAAAGACCCCTACGTGTACGTCACTTCCGGTCTCGGCAATTTTTCCGCAAACGTCTTTTTGCATGATATTTATTGATAGAAATCGCTAAGGGTGAAACTATCTGTCAAAATGAGTTTTATTTAACACAAAAAAAGACCACAATATACCAACAAAAAAATAATAGGTCCCTTTTAAAAGATTTCTTTACCCTACACTGCTCCTAATTGCACAGAAAAACACCAATTAACAGAATTGTTGTTTTGTCTTCTTTTTAGAGCGGTCGGAGAAACGTCGACCTTGACTTGATGTTTTCACACAAGAAAAGAGGTAATACTAGAGTTGACTGTTGAATGGACTGGTGAGTGGATGATGATGTTTGGTTTCTCACTTCACACTTCTTTTCTATCCTGTTGAGATGGAAACAAGTAATCTTCTCTCTTGAAATATGGTCCATATCTTCTCTAAAATCTCTACACAAATACCAGATGCACGTTTGTGTTTCCCTCTAAGCTTCCCCTCTCGCCTTCAGGCCCTCTGTACAGCTCTCCGGACTCCCTGGCTGAGTCCTGGTTCAGGGCCAAGCTGAGCCGTGAGCGCAGCTACAGTTCTGCCTGTTCGTACGAGGAGTCGGACATGGACCTGAGCTGCTCCCTGGGGGTCTATGCTCTCATTGACAATATGCTGAGCTTCATCAGTGGAGACGTGGGGCTCGTTCCGGCTTTCAGGGAACCAGAGGAGAACATGTCCACCAGCCCTCAGGCCATTGTGCTGGCCATGGAGCAGCAGCAGAGCAGGGCCGAGGTGAAAACACCATGTTCTTATGTAGAGCTATGCCAATCATCAAGTAGCAATTATCTGTACCTGACCACAAAAATGAATCTGTAATAAAGTATAGATATACAGTACATAATTGCTGTATTTGTGATTGGCTGATTACAACCATGAACATTCGATTAAGTGCAGTCTCTTCAACTCCACACGCCACTAAAGTTTTGTAGTAAATGTGTTTTCCTGCTCTCTGTCTCTGCAGCTGCGTCTGGAGGCTCTTCACCAGATTGTGGTCCTGATCTCTGGTATGGAGGAGAAGGGCTCGGCTCCGGGGATCAGCGAGCGCTCCAGTCCCTTCCAGTCCTCTTCCCTCCTTACCTCGGTCCGGCTGCAGTTCCTGGCTGGCTGCTTTGGCCTGGGCACCGTGGGCACCGGGGCACTGAAGAGAGAGAGCGTGCAGCTGCATCACTACCAGGTCTTACACGTTACATCACTTTACAGCAGGGTTTAGGGAGAGGACTTCAGAACAGAGACCTGAGACCAGGCCATGAAAGGCGTCTAACCTACTGGGCACAAAAACAGAAGAAGAGAGGACTAATGTGAGAGGACTTCAGGGAGGAGACGTGAGACCAGTACTAATGTGAAAGGTCTTCAGGAAAGAGCCATTTGACCAGGACTAATGTGGGAGGACTGAGCCCTGAGACCAAAAAACCGCCCTCTCCACTTTCTGACAAATTGCACATGCGCAACACTCTTCCTACTTCTGGTATTGCCTACTAAAGCGTGTGCAAGAGACACACGAGCCCACTTCTCTTTGTACACGCTCTGCTTACAAGTCACTGTCGGCATCACTCACCCAAGCTCACTTTCCAAGAAGATTTTCACTTGTTCCACTTTGTCAGACAGTAAAGACGTACATAACTTTTACTGGAAGTGATTTTAAATGGATTTCTCCTAATAGAATGCCAAACTTTACCACACGAGTAGAAACTTTGCGACTGAAGATTTCAGCGCACGTCATTGTGTCAAAGAATCTCCCAAAAACACTCTGGTCTTGTTTGACGAGCACGTACGACATCCTTACACCAGAAGGATTGACAATTAAGAGGACCAATTGTCTGGATAATCCACCAAGAAAAGGAAAATTCACCTATATGCCTAAATTTGCTGTAGACGCTATAGTCCTGATGGTATCGTCCACACAACCTTCAGATCTCACACCATCAGACACACCGTCTTTTCACTTAATCACACTGGGCCGAGAATATCTTGTTATACTGACGTATTATTGAAGTTTTTAGGTGTAACCTAAAGGTGTAACATAGGTGTAACCAGTGTTCTGTGTTCAGGATGGGATAATGGATTACCACAGGCGTAACCATTATGCTGTTTTCAGGATGGGATAAAGGCTGCAAAGCGGAGTCTTCAGATGGAGATCCAGACCGCGGTCCATAAGATATACCAGCAGCTGTCGGTGACTCTGGAGAGAGCTCTTCAGTCCAACAAACACCACATCGGTAACCCCTCACCTGACACACATGACCTCCCAAACACTCATGACATACAGAAGAGGCAACACTACCAGCCTTAAGTACTTAAAGGAGCTATACCTGATTTGTTTGTAATGAGTTCACAAAAAAGCGTATTACTGCATACAAGTTGTATTACAACCTGTAATTTAATTGAAAAATTGAGCTAGTTGATTCATCTTGTGTTTGAATTCAGGCCATGCAAAGTGCTGAGTTGACACTTTGCGGGACGCTAGTTGTTCTCCACGACGACGGACGGTGCTTTTGCAAACAGGTTGCCTCTAGCGCGTGCCCAGCGGCAGTTAAAGAACTTCTCACTCCCGCTCCTCGAGGCTTACGTCACTCACATTTTCTTTTTAAATTTCCCTCCAAATGGGCTTACCCTGAAGGACTTAAGGGGCCAGGCGGGGGGGTGAATGTTGGGCAGGTCTAAGCTGTGATTGACATCAGCATTGGCTGTGACAAAGATGGAGAGTGATCACACACGCTATAGCTTCTGTGCGGTCTTAGGAGGTGGAGGACTTCTCTCCACCGTCCTCACCGAAGGGTGAGAGAGAGGAGGCAGACGACGGCCCTCAGCCCTATCAATTAGCGCCGCTAGTAGAGCTAGCACCGCTATTAGAGCTAGCACAGCTATTAGAGCTAGCACCGCTAGTAGAGCTTGCGGCTCAGCTCGCGAGCTAGCGGGCACCACCCATGGATCTATTATAATAACTGCAGAGGTAGCAGACCGCCACTAAATGGGGCCTGTTTCTGAATTATATAGATTAGAGTGGAATAAAAACGAACTGCTTGTCACAGGTCTTGAAGAGCAATCATGTAGGGATCCGGACCCCGAAATGCTAACCTGTGTGAACCTTTGACAAGAGTAGCCATTTATGTAGCTAGCCTTCCCATTTTCCCATACAGTAACCCCTTATGTTGCGGTGCTTTGTTTGACAGTTTTGTCTGTACATTTTATTTATGAACCCAGACCAAGAAACTATATGTTGTGGGGTCATATAGTTACAAAATTCTAAACTCTGCCACAATAACCTGCGGCCACTGCACCTCTTTGTCTCCAAGGGAAAACTTGTGCTGCATGGAAACCCCGAAGGCATTTTGGATAGAAATGATACCGCAATGTGCAAAAAGAGACAGTAATTTAACACACGCTCAAACATAAAGTAGCATTTATTGTACACAAGTACAATAAAGAATATACAATGAAATTGCACACAATATAGCACACTAGTAATACTAACAAAAGTCCTAAGCTAAATTCAGCTAACTAATCTAACAATAAAACAAACTAATGACAAAAACTACAATATTCAACAACAACGCTATTAACACTCCACAATTATCTATAATACAAACAGCTATGCTAATAAAAATCTACCTAAATGCTATAACTAATCGCAAACCTGACAATCGATGAAAATACTCTCCGCTATTCCTTCTCCAACTCGCTACGGGGGCGTGAACGAGACTGAGCCGCTTATATACCTCATGGCGGCAGGGCAACACAGCCTTCACGGCTGTGCCAATGTTGGCGCCAGATTCAAAATTCAAATGTAGTAAATACAGGTCGCCTGCAGATGGCGCCTCACTGACGGTTTTAGGCAGAAAGTTGATCTTTCAACTAATTTGCACTAAATTGACAAAATTATGACCAGGATATGTACACAACACTATTGGACACTCATTTATACTGTTTATCAGCAAATAATTGGATTTGAGGATAAACAAGAACAGAATGGCAGCCAAAGGAGGATCAACGCAGAAAGTCGCTATAAGACATTGCTGAATTGGGTATAGCTCCTTTAAGTAAAAGTAGAGAAATAATACCCTATCTCTCTCCCTCTCCGGTGTCTGTCTCTGGCCTCTCTCTCTCTGGTCTCTGTCTCTCTAGTCCCTCTCTGGCCCGTCTCTGGTCTTCCTCTGGTCTCCATCGCTGGTCTCTCTGGTTTTCCTCTGGTCTCGCTCAGGTTTCTCTCTGATTTCTCTCTGGTTGCCCTCTGTTCTCTCTCTCTCGTGTCTTCCTCTGCTCCCTCTTTGGTCTTTCATTAGGTTCTTTACAGCTAAATTACTTCTACTACAGTACAGACCAGAAGTTTGGACACACTTTCTCATTCAATGAGTCTCCTTTCTTGTCATGACTATTGACTGTAGATTCACACCCAGGCTGTGTAAGGGCTATTTGACCAATAAGGAGAGTGGGAGGGTGCTGGGCCAGATGACCTGGCCTCCGCAATCACCGGACCTGAACCCAATCGAGATGGTTTTGGATCGAGCTGGACCACAGATTGAAGGCAAAAGGGCTAACAAGTGCTAAGCATCTCTGGGAACTCCTTCAAGACTGTCGGAAGACCATTTCAGATTACTACCTCTTGAAGCTCATCAAGAGAATGCCAAGAGTGTGCGAAGCAGTAATCAGAGCAAAAGATGTCTACTTTGAAGAACCTAGGATAAAAGACATATTTTCAGTTTTTTCAAACTTTTCTTTTGTACGTACAAAATTCATCGTTTTGATGCCTTCAGTGTGAATCTCCAATTTTCATAATCATGAAAATAAAAAACGTTATATGTTAAATTTAATTTCCCACTTGTACAGAGTGTTGCAGTCCTATTTTCCCCTTTGCTGCTTGCAGAAGCTCAGCAGCGCCTCCTTTTGGTAACCGTGTTTGCCCTGAGCGTGCGGTACCAGCCTGTGGACGTGTCTCTGGCCATCTCCAGTGGACTCCTGAACGTCTTGTCTCAGCTGTGTGGGACGGAGACCATGTTGGGACAACCTCTACAACTGAAGCTGAAACCAGGAGTGTCCCAGCTCAGCACAGCTCTCAAAGTGGCCTCCACCAGACTGCTGCAGATCCTGGCCATCAGCACCGGGTGAGGGGCCTGGCTTCTATTTACTCTCCCAGTATGATGTCTTCCAGTGCTTTCCAAATAATCCCCTAGTACAGTGGTTCCCAAAGTGGGGGTCGCGGGAACCCCAGGGGGGTCGCAAGATATACAAATATATAGCTCTTAAATATTTTTTTAATTATATATTTAAATTAGGGCTGTCAAAATTATCGCGTTAACGCACGTTAATTAATTTTTTTCATTAATCGCAATAAAAAATTAACGCATTTGACGCATGCCCATGCATCCCATAATAACACTCAGAATGCCGCGGACACATGGGCGTGTAAGATGGGGACAGAGCAGGTAGGCCCTCTGGGAATTCAAGTTTTTAAAGAATACACGCGTGACCGCGGGGCACCTGTAGTTTCCTGTATGAACTCTGCATGATGAGCTGCGGATGCGACAGTGCTCTGGACAGCAGTTCCCACTTCCAGCGGCTGTGATCACGGCGAACGGCGCTGCGTAATGGGATCATATCCAAGACCACGCACAGAACTATTACAGAACTATTCTCTAGTGTGCGTACGTATCTTTGCGTATCCAATGCACACAATATGTACAGCGCAGAAGCTGGACTGCGGAGCCTCAGTCTCCTCCGTGTCTTCTCCCGAAGCGCACTCGCTAAATTAAAGCTGAGGTACCTAATTTTTCTTTCGACTACCAGTTCATGTTAGTTGTGCCAAAAAAAGTAATGGTGTGAGCAAATCAAACAGATTTAATGACATTCTGCATTTCAGACTGTTTTGAAATGTCCCTCATCTGTAACAAACAATGGTTTTGGTCTGAGTCTAAACAGAAAGACAGAATGTTAATAATGTTAATTCCATTTTATTTGGATTTATTTTTATAACAAACAAATACAGTACATATGTTCACTAAACTGACATTTATCTTTCCATTCAAACAACAATTTACAGAAAAATATGGCATAATTTTGCCAATAGTTTGAAATGCGATTAATTACGATTCATTAATTTTTAAGCTGTAATTAACTCGATTAAAACAATTAATCGTTTGACAGCCCTAATTTAAATATTTGATTTGATTCAAAAGGACTACTTGTTAAATTGTGTTTGGAAAAGAGTCTGAAAAAAATATAAAATATTTTAATTACATTTGTAATTTTGTCCCAGTCATTGGCAGCGTCAATCAAAATCAAGTTACGCAGCTCACATCATGCGCAGCGACAAAGCGTATCCTGCTGTTGTTTGCTAAAGCTAAAGGTGTTTGGAGGCTACAAACAAATAATACCGGCTTTAAAATGAAACATGGTTAATATCCACTACAGAAAAACCTGGACGGGGAGAAAAAACACATCTGCCAGAGGTGAGGCTGATGATGCTAAGACTGTGGCGGAGGGAACATCTGAGAGAGCAGGGGAGAACACCGCGGTGAAGAGGCCCGGCTTTTCGGAGTCAGTGGTAAAGAGGTCCGCACATTAAAAGCGGGTGGATGCTTTATGCTGTTACTTCCGTGTGCAATATTGATCCAAAATACAAGTGTGTAGTGAAAGTATTTTCCAAGGCTTTTTTGTAAAATAAAAATAAAAAGTTAAAAAGTGCATTTTGGCCTCGTTATCGCGATCGGAGAACAGTGAGGGCGAGCCGCAAGAAATGCGCTCCACCCCTGCTAAGGGGGGATCCCGCCATGCCTATCACTTGCGTCACTACGAAAGTAAAAATAGCTCTTATTTTGGGCTGGCGAGTGCAGCTTGGTACGCAACGCTAAGCGCCACTACACTCGTCTCCTCGTGTTTTGTGGACGGTCCTGATAACATGGGCGCAAGTCTCTTTGTTTCACATGAAGTGTGATGTGTGTCCAACTGGGACGTGCGGTGAGGTTTGTGATTGGGGAGGCACTGACTTTAAACAGTCAGATTTACCATCATTATTCTATTAAATAGCATTAAATCGTCAATGCAAAAACGTCCACAAACATTATATACTGTAAAGATAAGAACCAGCATATTAATAAAAATCCCGCAACACATCTAGATGCTGGCTCTCCGCTTCGCATCAAACCAAGTCTTTGCGAAGCACAGGTGCGAGAGACGGGAGGAGGGAGGGAGGGAGAGAGAGAGATGCAAGGAGCGAGAGAGATACGCAAGGGGCGTGAGAGAAAGAGACGCAAGGAGCGAGAGATGCAAGGGGGGAAAGAGAGAGACGCTAGGAGAGAGAGTGACGCAAAGAGCGTGAGAAAGAGACGCAAGGAGCGAGAGATGCGAGGAGAGACACTAGGAGAGAGAGCTTATGAGCAGTGTTTAAATCAGTGTTTTTCGGGGAAGCACTTTTACGCAGCTCTAGTACATTTTCAATATAAAACACAGACACTGACAGCTCCTCCCCCGCGGCTGGATTAACCTCGTTGGTCCAGCGGTGGTCTTGTCTATATTACTTCTTGTTTTGATTGAAAGTCCAGTTGAGTCAAATCCTCAATCCAATCATCCATTTTCCAGCAAAAAAAAGGACCGACAGGACTGATAGTTGGTTAGCAAAATATTTACAGTTTGTGTTAGCAACTCCGTTATAACTTCATGCTCACTATCACCCCTAGTGGTGAGGCACAGACACTGCCTGCCTCACGCTAGGCTTTTCTGTGTATGTATGTGTATGTGTATTCTTCTCCGATCAAAAGACTTCAAATAATTATATATAGTACACACAATACGTGCAATACATTACTAAACGCTATGACAAGTTAAACAAATGTTTTCATAGCAGGATGTTGAAACAAAAAGGGATATATCAACAGCACGAGCTGAGTGCACTCACACACACACTATGTGGGAGCGAGCGGTCTGGGCGGAGGCACGCAGGAGCGCTGCCTCACCTCGTCTCTTTGAATAGGAAAAATAGGATTTCAGCGATTTTGACTACAGAAATTATCAAAACTGTTCGGAAACAGGCCGAAAATACGTTATAAGCATAGGACAGTGGAAAACAATTATATATTTTGACTATATTAATAATTATTTTTTCAAGGCTCTGCCTCCCCTGACTGCACGTCACTGGTGTACAAAGCGTAACTCAGAATCAAGGAAATACGTGCTCATTTCATGCGACGGGAAGGGGTGTTGAAGTGGGGGGTCGCGGGGGAGCAGTTGCAGTTTTTATGGGGGTCGCGGGCTAAAAACTAGTATATATCTACTAGTGCTTTCCACTGGCAATAGACCTCAGAGAAGGAGAGACTAGAGAGGGAGAAACTAGAGAGGGAGAGACTATAGAGCATGGGTAGACCGCGATCAGGACCCTGAGACCCTTTTCTCTGCACCTCCATGATTTTTTTTCAAAAGTACATTATTACAATTATCTGTAAACATTTTCACGGAAAGCGATTTGTAAGCAGGCAGGCACAAGTGCAGCACTGTGCGTGGTGAGGTCCTTCAGAGTAAACATTACGGAGCTGTCAAAACAACTTTAACAGTGTCTAAATCTGAGTGAGTCAGAGACAAGGAAAGAGACGGAAGTGAGCACAATGTACGGAGAGTTCGTAGATAAATGGGATGAGCGGGCTAAAATCTAAATCTGAGTGAGTCAGAGACAAGGAAAGAGACGGAAGTGAGCACAATGTACGGAGAGTTTGTAGATAAACGGGATGAGCACATCAGAGATTGTCTAGTCGTGGTCATTCAAGATTAAAGAGCTGTCTCGTAAATTCCAACTTAACGCAAGCAGTTATGGACTAGGAGCTGTTCTTCTCCAACTTTATGGAGAGGAATTGAAACCAGTGGCATACACATCCAGGCAGTTGAGTGACACACAGAGACCATCCATCCATCCATCCATTTTCTTCCGCTTCATCCGTTGCCGGGTCGCGGGGGCAGCAGTCTAAGCAGAGACACCCAGACTTCCCTATCCGCACACACCTCCTCCAGCTCGTCCGGGGGGACCCCAAGGCGTTCCCAGGCCAGCTGAGAGACATAGTCCCTCCAGCGTGTCCTGGGTCTTCCCCGGAACACCTCCCCAGGGAGGCGTCCAGGAGGCATCCGGAACAGATGCCCGAGCCACCTCAACTGGTTCCTCTCGACGTGGAGTAGCAGCGGCTCTACTCCGAGCTCCTCCCGTGTGACTGAGCTCCTCACCCTATCTCTAAGGGAGCGCCCAGCCACTCTGCGGAGGAAGCTCATTTCGACCGCTTGTATCCGCGATCTCGTTCTCTCGGTCATTACCCAAAGCTCATGACCATAGGTGAGGGACTGAACGAAGATTGACCGGTAAATTGAGAGCTTTGCCTTTCGGCTCAACTCCCTCTTTACCACGACGGTCCGATACAGCGACCGCATCACTGCGCACGCTGCACCGATCCGCCTGTCAATCTCGCGCTCTATCCTTCCCTTACTCGTGAACAAGACCCCGAGATACTTGAACTCCTCCACTTGAGGAAGGGCCTCTCCACCCACCCGGAAAGTGCAAGGCACCCTTTTCCGGTCGAGCACCATGGCCTCAGATTTGGAGGTGCTGATTCTCATCCCAGCGGCTTCACACTCGGCTGCAAACCGTCCCAGTGCATGTTGCAGGTCCTGGTTCGTTGGAGCCAACAGGACAACATCGTCTGCAAACAGCAGAGATGAAATCCTGTGGTCGCCAAACCGGACTCCTCCGGCCCCTGGCTGCACCTAGAAATTCTGTCCATGAATACAATGAATAGAACCGGTGACAAAGGGCAGCCCTGGGGAGGCCAACATGCACCAGGAACAGGTCTGACTCTGACTCCGGTCATACAGGGACCGAACGGCCCTCAACAAAGGACCCCGGATCCCATACTCCCGGAGGACCCCCCAAAGGACACCCCGGGGAACACGGTCGAACGCCTTCTCCAAATCCACAAAGCACATGTGGACAGGTTGGGCAAACTCCCATGAACCCTCGAGTATCCGATGGAGAGTATAGAGCTGGTCCAGTGTTCCACGGCCGGGACGAAAACCACACTGCTCCTCCTGAATCCGAGATTCGACCAACGGCCGTAGCCTCCTCTCCGATCGA